AACAAAGAGGAAACACTGAATCAATGCACATTCTGGAGCATATTGTGGGGTCCTGTGTTGTTGAAAAGCATTGTCGTGTTCAATCTAGTTGGGTGGTCTGAGACAAATCTATATTTGTTTTGCTCCACTACTCTTCTTGGTGCTTTAGCACTCTTCTCAGAAGAAATAGTGATTCAGTCCCAGTCTTTGCCTTGGCTCCTATCAGACCTAATTATGACTGTTTGGTGCCTGCAAACACAGCAGCTAACGCTCAGTCTGACATTTAGCCAGGACCCCAAACTCTGTCAGGTAAACAGCTAAACAAACTCATTTCTCTGTTCCATTTTCTCCGTCTAATTATGAAACTTTTGTTAGTCTCTGTTTAGAAAGCTATATCTGTAATCTCCAAAATGCAGAATTAGGCCTTGCTCTGGATTCGACGTGATTCCAGGGTGTTACATGATTATTATTAAACCTTTTTGGTCGTCATGCAGGAAGGATTTCTGTCAGTTTATCCCAGGAATGCAAATAACAAAGGAATGAAGCAGATTTCCCAGGCAATGCTTTTGGCCTGCACGAGAACTGAAAGGCTTCTTGCAGAGATAGCTTTATGTATTTCGCAAACTGCATTCGCTGCTAAGCCTTATCGCCTTGCATGGCAGCTGTCAACAATAAACATCTAAAAGTTGTTGGTGTTTTCCGGTGCACCAACCAATTATTAGGAATTAAACACAGCAGCTATCACAGGTGCATCACTATTAGAGTATAATCAAAAAGCTTATGTATTTGAGTAGTTTGCTAAAAAAAAAAAAAAAAGGGGGGGGGCGAATATTGTTGCACTCAGAGAAAAGTTTCATATCTCCAAAAATTTAACTCTTTGGGACATTTGAAAAAATAACATAATTTTTCTTCAAAATTTGAATTCATATTGTTTGGTTAAAATTGCAAACTTAATCAAGTATTAAGTGCAAATACTGTGACGTAGTTGCGGGGAAAATGAGCCTCAAGACTTTATCAGGATAATTTTTGTGGTATGTATTGCGATAAATGATAGCTAAAAATTCATAGCAATTAACAGCAGATGCAGCTAACCAGCTCAGACCAGCTGCATCCAATCAAAACCATATAAACCAATTTAAACAACGCTCTTATCGAACGAGTGCTGAAGGAAAAATATATGTAAAATGGCAAAAGCAACAGTGCAGTTACAATGTCAGTTTGGGAGGGTTTGTGAACTTCCATAAACTAACAATAAATATGAATTCTTCTTTAGCTCTTTATGTTTTTTCCCCTCATAATAATTAAAAAAATACAATGACTGCCCATCCCTACCATAAATCGCATGGTTATACTGTTTTTATTGGTCTTATGTTTTAATTTTGACCTGGGTGTTCAGTTTTTAATAGCTGTAAGCCTTAATCATTTCTATTTAGAGAATTAAGTGCTTGAACTTCATCCCAATGAGGATTGAATCCATACAAGTTGTAGGTAAAAGGTCATATTTATACTGTTGTATCTCTTTACAACAGTTGAATGGTCCAGAAAGGGATTAATAAAGAAATATCTAATCTCATCTTAAACCTGCTTTTCAATAACATTCTTCCTAGGTTCATTAATTCAACTCCTCTTCACCTGTTGCTCTTCTAAATGCTGTCTGTGTAGCAAAGCAAACGTCAGACAGATTAGCCTCCCCCCCTGCTCTCCTCCTGACTTCTAGATGCCAGTAAACATTAAAGTTACAAATATTTGCCCTCTTGGATGTCACTGTGTCAATATCACACCACAGACGGGCCAAATGTTTTCAACAAATGCTGCAGCGGAGAAGTCTGCAGGGGGTAGAAGAGAGCCGCTGCAGCACGAGAAGGAAGGACCCGGTGCCACTTGAAATAAAGAGGGTTTATTGCTTAAATGACCCCAATTTAGATAGATATCTCAAACAAACCTCTGCATTTTGGTCTCAAAGGAAGGAATTTACCACAATAGCTTTGAGAAGGGCAGAACTGTAACATTTGTAAGGGGCCACTGGTCTCTTTTTTTGTCATGACAGCACTCCCATAGAGCGAAGTGATGTGAATTATCTCATTAGGGATATTTTTTTTTCTTTTTTTGCACTGGATGCCCAATTAGCAGTGAGCTCTCTGAACAAGTTCAGACTGTTCACAGAGGTCTCTTCTGGGGAACAAAGAGCGTTTTAGACCCAATTAAACTTTAGGGGTAGGTAGAACCCCTTTCTCATTTATAATGCCTGCAGCACAGGCACATAGAAACTAAAGGGAAAACCTTCAGAGCCAGTTTGAAGTAAAGCCTGAAGTCTAAAGGAAACTGTGCAAAAAGAAGCCAACTAGAAAGTCCTAGAAACAAGTGTCTTTCATTCAGGCTAACAGTGACGTACTGTCATTGTGACTGATAGGAAGTAAGGCAGCTTTTCTAATTGGGCTTTTCCTGGCCGATCCCACCGCAACAGCTTCTTTGATAACAGCAGCAGTAGAAAATACGAATTACTCTAATTACAAACTTAGGTTTGTAAAAGTAACGTTTTAATTTTGCCAATTTATTTTCCTTTGACTGGAGGTAATGCTGATGTTTCAGAGCGGCCCAGTCAAAGGCCTAACTTAAATCTGATAAAGCATCAGTGGCAGGAGCTAAAGATTAGGGTAATGACAATGAGAGCTTCAAAACACTGGGAGCTCAGATTTTCTAGCAAAAACTGACACTTTTGTCCCGTCCTGTCTATGAATAATTTTGAGCTCAAATTAATGTGTTGATCCTGATAGGTCAGGAAATGTCTCTTTAATAACAGCTCTTCCTCTAAATATCCTGTCAGAGCAAGAATTTAAAGAAACACGACTGGAGAAGAGCCCCGGGTTCATTTTGCAACCACATTGAGAAGAACGGTAAGGAAGGCACGCTCTCAGGTTTGCAGCAGATTTCGACGGTGTGAGGTTATGCTACGACAATAAAGGATGATTTCATTTTAAGGTTGTTCACAAAAAGTGTGCCAAGAATTACACCGCAAAAGCGTCATCAATGTTCACAATAAATTATCTCACTACGCCCCTCTACATCCCAATGGGGCTTTAATCACTTCAGCTGCACAGCTCAAGGCTGCTTCATCAACTAAACCCAAAGCAAACCAACTCGGAGGGAGGAACGCTTCACTGAGACCGGAATTGTGAATCAAGGCAGGAGACTTTTTTTTTTTTTTTGTAAGACAGGGCTCCTATACGCTGCATGTGGCTGCAGGCTCCAGGTAGATCATCAAGGTGGTATTTTGACCCCTAAGAGCCTCGAAGGACAGGACTGCTACCTGAACCAAAAGGCCAAAGAGCGTTTTCAGCTCAGTGGTTCTCACAAACAAGCAACTTGGGGTTTAAACTGGGTGAATCTTTAGATTTAGCACATCAACAGGAACAGCAGAAAGATATTCTTCAAAAGAGACTTCATGTTTTACCTGAAAGTGTGCATCTATCCCAACCAAGTAAGTTGTCAATTTTAAAAATCCAAAAGGATGACCACAGGCTTAGAAAAGAAGTTTTGGAGAATAAGGAAAGACCTAGAAAAATATGCATGGTTGTGTTTGTACAGGTGATATCTCCTCATGAGGTTGGCCATAAAACTACAGAAGACATGAAAAAGTGTTTATCCCACTACCAGTTCTCATTTTTTCCTTTGTAGGTTTTTTTTTTTTTTTTTTTTTTTTTTTGTCAGGTCATCGAAGAAATCTTAATATCAAGCAAGGTCATGATGCCAACAGTCAACAATAGTGTTGATGGTCTGTGGCTGTTTTACTGATTCCAGACCTAAAAGACTTAATGGAACCACAAGTTCTGCTCTACCAGAAAATCCTGAACAACAACATCTGACCACCACTTAATAACCTTAAGCTCAACCTCTCTAACATTATACAGCCAACAAGTAAGCCTACACCTAAATTGCTGGAATGAATGAAAGTTTTGGAGTGGTCTAGTCAAAGTCTAGACTTAGATCCAGATTGGAGTGCTGCAGCATGGCCTTTAACAGACCAATCCATGCCATGACTGTGAAATTCCTCCACAGTCATGGAGAAAAAACCCCATTTCCAGTTGATGACAGATGTTGCCACCGAGGGTGGAATAAAAAGATATTAGATTTAGGGGGCAGTAACTTTTCCTCATAAAAACAGGTTGGCTCGGATACCTGTTTCCCTTCGATAAATTAAATTATCATCAAGCAAAAATAAGACATTTTGCAAGGCGGAAAATACTTCTTCATATTTCTGCATTTGCCTAAAACAGGAGGCTGCACTGAAGACTTGAACCCTGTGATTTAAATCCTAAACACATTTTTAACACCCCAACAATGAAGCCAGACTGGTAGAGCAGAAGTTTGCATCTAAAATGTCATTAAAAATTACACATGCCAATAAGTCTGGGTCTGGCCTTTACAGTAAGAACCCAGATATTGACACAATATTGAGTCACACTGGCACCTATTGATATGAATGCCTGTTGCTCGCTGTGCTCCAATGATTATGAAAGAGGAACTGACTGGAATGCTAACTTAGAATGACAATAGATGGGGCAGAAGCTGTGATGGGTCATGATTGTGTCTGAAGACAGCCCAGTGATGTTTTAGTGATGAGGCTGGTGGTGCATCAGCACAGACATGGAGCCCCCCACAAACTTAACATGCATTTCAGACCTCACTGCAGTTCAAATTCTACTTGTAAACATCCTTCACGCCAGGTCTGACGGCCTGCGGTTTCGTTTCCATCTCTGAATATCAGAGTAAACGTCTGATTATGCCTCTCGTTTTAGCCAGCGAAGCAAAGGACTGAGGTGGAAGCGTGAAGTCGCTGCGATATTCCCAAACAAAAGGCGGCTTTAATTGTCTCCTCCACCGACTTCCCTTCCTTCCAGGGTGCTGTCTACTCTCACTGCATGCAGACAACATAAAGGACCAGCAGCGTGCGCACACTCCGTCATTCTCTCCCAGCATCTCAATCGGGACCCCCGGGTTGTGTCTGGATCAGTTCCGCTTACCGTCGACAGCCCTGGACGGAGCGACCACCTCCAAACTGTGCAGGAATCCCAGGAAAAGCAGCCCTGCCGCCAGCACGTTGGCCGCGATGCGCAACATTGTATCCTATCTGCGATGGAGCCTGCACATCAATCGCCCCTCGGTTCCTGTCAGGCTGTGGAGGCTGCACACTAAAGGCGACGACGTGTAGAACCGAGCCCGGGGGGCAGAAGATGCTCCTCAGCCGGAGGTGTGCGCAGTCTCTGCTGCTGTCTGCCCACTCAGAGGCTGATCTTTGTTTTTTTTTTTGTTTGTTTGTTTTTTGGAGAATCTCAATGCGAGGAGCTGAGGCTTCTCCCAGCCCGCTTCTGAGGGGTGAAGATTAGGGGGTCCGTGGGTTCATGGAGAGTCCCTGCCACAAAGGCTAGCAAGCTGAGCTGAGCATCAGGCTAATAACCCCCGGTCTGCAGTCTCGATGATGATGATGATGATGAAGAAGAAGAAGAAGCAGAAGAAGAAGAAGAAGAAAAGAAAGCAGCAGCAGCAGGGCTGGCGCCTGTGATCAGGCAGTTTGTCCGTCTTTTGTTCTCCCTGCGCCGGTGAAGGAGCCACAGGGGGCGGGGGCGCATAAAGACGCGGATCAAATGCTCCTCTCCTCCCCACCACCTCTGCTGCCGCTGGCCGCAGATTGAGCCTCTAACCCGGAGCTCAGTCAGTCTGAGTCTGACGTCGGAACATCAGCTGGCCCTCCTTCTCCTCCTCCTCCTCTTCCTCCTCCTTCTTCCATGTCCCTCATTCACCTCCTCTAAAATCACACTGGCATATAAATTTACTGGCTTCAGACTGATGAATTTCAAACCCCATCTGACCCACATACTTCTTTTTTCCCCCCTTTTTTTTTAAAAAGACAAACAAACATATTTTTAATGTTTTTTACAACTTAAAAAAAAAAAAACTTCAGCCCCTTTTATTGTTAAATCACAAAATAAAATCCAGTGTAAACGTTTGGTTTCAGAGGTCACTTAATGAAGCAAACAGAGCGCAAACTGAGCATACAGCTGTTCCTCAGAGTGTTGGAGAACATTAGTGAGCAAACAGCATCATGAAGAACAAGAAACACAACAGACATGTTGGGGATGAAGTTATGGAAATCAAGCAGGTTTGAAAATCCCCAACATTGTTCGATTCATCATTCCAAAATAAAGAGAAACCGACTGAGACATAGCTGTCTATCCAAGCTGATATTTTGGGCAAAGAGAGCTTTAGAGGAACTGCAGAAATCCACGGCTCACGTGGGAGAATCTGGCCTTTTTGGAAAATATAAGTACTGCAAGGAAATCATAAGAAGTTCTATTTGCAGTTTGTCTATTTGCAGTTAGTCTGCAAATAGACAAACTGCAAATAGTTTGTCTATTTGGCCTGCAAGAGACAATGCAAATATGTGGAAAACAGGCAAGCTAATGCTGCATTTCACCCTGAACGCACCCTCCCTATGGTGAAACATGGTGGTGGAAGTGTCATGCTGTGGGGATGACAAGAGGAAAACCGATGTTAACAGTCTCTTTCCATTAAATCTGATCTTCAGCTTCTGAAAAGTGAGACAAAATGTCAGTCAAAATTAGTGGAGGCATGCTACAAAAACAAGTTTTTTTGGAGGATGTGCCTCTATAAAGTGTTGAGTTGAATGCAACTGCACACCACACTATTTTATTTGTAAAGAATTTTGTCATTGGCCCTACTGATACCTCACAAGCACGTGGAAACAGCAATTTCTGCTATGTTGGGTTCATTTCAGGAAATCTAAATTGTAACTATAACTTAAAAATAAATGTTTAAAAAAAGAGAGACAGCATTCCCCTTATTATACATTCTCTCAGATCTCAGATCCCGAATTACAGAGTAGACTTCTGGTCTGCAGCTCCCTTCGCCCTGAAGGTGTTTGCCTATAGGTGCTTCCCTTTCAAGTTGTGTTGCTGCTAACTAGCTGGCCTCAGGCCATCCCCTCTGCTGCTCCCCACACTTGGAGCTGGGCCAAGCCACTGTTGTGGTTGTCCTTGATGCCATTAGATTTAGCTGCTTCCCCGGTTCTTAGAAAGAGTATACCATCGAGGAACGCAGCCGGCAGGGATAGTCGCTGTGCAGCCAGTTTGATGTATAAGGTAAAGCACGGTGTACATCTGCTGCAGGTTCTGGCTGGAGAAGGTAGTGAATCATCAGGTGAAAGTCTTTGCATTTGGCTGACAAGGATTTAGTTTTCCTCATGTGTGAGTATGATATTTATTCAAGAATCACATAGAGTAGACATCAAATATTTATCTTAAATTGGTACCAGTATGCTGACAGCTTTTTGCAATTCATGGCACTTTCTTGTGGAGTTTTCCTTTACAAATAAGAGAAAACCTTTACTGTTCATATACAGATTAAGCTATAAAATAGCTCTCCAAGGACGTCCTTTCTGGTTGGCTGGTTACCAGCATGTGAGCTTTCAAAGGAAACCTCTTAATTATGTTAGCTATTAATAAGAAACGTTGAAAGAAATGGTACAGAGAACAGTCATGCTTACACATCCAGGGTCTGCATGTGTGGTATAGAATTTGTTACTTTTCATAGAAGGCAGTCTGCAGAAGAGGTTCAGTCTGTAGATGATGTTCAGTCTGCAGAAGAGGTTCAGTCTGTGGAAGATGTTCAGCCTATTGAAGACGTTCAGTCTGTAGAAGATGTTCAGTCTGTGGAAGAGGTTCAGTCTGTGGAAGAGGTTCAGTCTGTGGAAGATGTTCAGTCTGTTGAAGAGGTTCAGTCTGTAGATGATGTTCAGTCTGTGGAAGATGATCAGTCTTTTTAAAATGATTAGTCTGTGGAAGATGTTCTGCATTGGAAGGGGAAATGTAAAGTTCCCCTTAAATGTAAAAAAATGAAAAGTTTGGGCATCAAGGGTTTCATCTTTTTCTAACCCTTTCATGCCCCAGAAAATGTCTCTCTTCTCTTGGCTCCATCTTAACACTGAGGCTGTTGTGAAATGTCAGGACCTCCTGCAGAACTTTGGCTGTATTTTTGGATCCACCAGGGTTTTTTTTTTCATCCATCTTGTCAAAGCACTCAGGTACTGCGGTTCACACGAAGACATAAATCCTTTCCATCTGATTACAGGAGAAAGCAGAGTGTATTTGATTTTTAACTAGGTGGCAAAACAGAAAACAGGAAAAGCAATACACACTTATAATAAATGAATAAATGAGGAAATGTTTGAATTATCATACTGGCTAGTTTAAAAAGATGAGTATACTAAAAGCATTTAAATTGTTAAAGGTGCAAAATAAAATAAAAATGATTGTGGGATTTAACTTTACAAATGTGACAAAGTAAATAAATTGAGATTTAATAAATTCAAATAATAACTGAGGTTCAATTAAAAGCCAGGCTAAAAAGAAAAATCGATGCAAAAGCTTTTATCAGAGAAACAATTTTTTTTTTTTTTTGGTAATATATGGTTTTATTTCAACAAAACAAAAGCATTTATTGTTGATCACATGCAGCAGTGGCACAGGACTTGCTAACGTTACAAACAGCTGGCATAGAAATACTAACCAAGGACAAGGACTGATATCATTTATGGGAACAATGGTGCTCCAGAGGCTTATATGTACTTTTCTTTCTCTTCTCCACTGTTGCATGAATGTTTTTTTCTTTCTGATTTCAGTTGACACTTCTGTTCAGTAGCGTATATGATGAAGCTAACATGTTAGCTTCAGAAATGATGTATCTTTTGTTTTGTCTTTTTGCATATCAGTTCAAAGTTTTTTTTTGTTTTTTTTTTTTTCAAGACAACAGCTCGAACCATGATTCCTAATTCTTATAGGATAGCAGCTGATTGATTTCTTCGTTATAAATGGATTTTTGTGGCCATCCAAAAACTGAGCCTCTGCAGTCTATGATGCCTAGAACAGAGCCCTGATTGCCAGCTAAAGCCGATACAGTAGCAAAAGAAGGCAAGCCAAAGGGCAGGGGAAAGAAGAATGCAGTTTAAATTATTTTTCTCACTTTTCCATATGAAATGTGAGAGCTGCACTGAACGGGACAAGTAACTTTGACGCGAAGGGAATTCATTGGGAATATCTGGAAAGATGTGGCTCTTGGAAAATATGTCCAGCTCCAGTGTGTCTCCTTCAAACTCTGTGGCCAGACAGGCAAGCTTTAGAGATTCTCTAACGTCTCTTCAAAGGCCCTCTCTCAAAAGAAAACACATAAAGCTACGTGATCAAAAGCCAGGAAAACTCAAAGGAACGTATTTAGAAATGTGAAGGTTCTGTGTAAATGCTTAGATTTTTAAATCATAAAAATCAGGAGGTGGACTCACTCACACATTCCTGTGTTGTTGACTAAAGAACACAGTTATGCAACCCTACTTCCACAAAGCTCTCCTCCTTATCGCTCTGATCTCTTTAAAACTGCACAAGGACACTTTAAACAGGCTTTTTCATTTGCTAATAGTCTCCTCACTTCATCCGGTTTGGGCCATCAGGCCTCACAAACGTCAGGCCCCACCTGCTTTAATCTCATTCAATTCAATTCATATTCAAGAATGTGTTATTAATTCCAAATTGTAACTCGTTTTATCAAAGGTTCTTCACAAAGAGTCGCTCTGGATGCTGATAGCTGTGGGCAGAAAGGACTTCCTGTGGCAGCCTGCGTTACAATGGCTCTGAAGAACCGTCTGACTGAAAACACTCTGTTGCTGCAAAGCACTCATGAAGAGGATGGTCAGGGTTGTCAGTACATGTCTTGATTTCATGAGGAATCGGTTTTTGCACCATCATCTCCACAGGTTCCTCAGTCGTCTCCAGAACAGAACCAACCGGTTGTATCAGGTTGTTGAGCCTCTCTAAGTCCCTGATGAAAGGCGTTTAAGATCGTCTCCTCCAAGCTTAAGGTTCTTCAATGGTCCATTTTGTGTAAAATGCACCTGTTGGAATGGATTCCCAAAGTTTTGCTTTGGTTTCATAAGAAACACGTTCTGCTGCCACAAGGTTTATGGGAGATCTTGGCCATTTGCGGATGTTTTATATGTTATTTTAGAAATATTGCTTCTCCTTTGTCAAGGAGAAAACAGGAGATAATTGTCATACAAATGCTACATGACAGAAATTCCTGCTGTTCTCCTTTAGTATTGCTGTCGAAGTCTTGGCAGTTTGTCTGACAAATTTTTGTCTTTTTGTTTTCATTTATTTTAGAGAAATGTCAAGTTTTTCAAATGTCACAATTGGTCTGTATTTTCTTAGATTACTAATGACTTTTTTTTTTTTTTTTTTACATATTAATGACTGAGGGGATTTCTTGCATTCGTACAGGTGATTGCTTTGGATTTATTGCAAATTTGTTGTTTTTATTTAATTAACTTAATTAAAACTGATGTTATACAGAAGACAAAATGCTGAAATTGAATCTGGATGTTAAAATCAATGGATAATTGATATTGATATGCGGCCGGTGAAGCCATCTGTGGCTGAAGCTGTCTGGGTTATTTCTGATCAGGACCGCCACCTAGTGGGTCTACACTGGAAGTGCCACCTTGTGCTCCAGGAACAAAGAGTTCTTTGTGCCGCAAAGAAGAGAGAGAAAAAAAATGTTTTCAAAGACTAGACTCTTGGCATAAAATTAAAATTTTGTTCATTAACCTTTCAGAGAGGCTTGATGAAACTATGTGAAGAAGAAACAACGAGAAGGACAGAGTCAGAGTATGT